ATAACCATATTTCGGGTCTCGGCGAAGTTGATCAGCCTCAACCCATTCGGAGATGTTTCATGAATTTACCTTGCTTACCAACCCTGACGCCAACCTTGCTTGAGCTTTATCTAAAAGAATCTCAATCAGAGAACTTTTCTCAATTGCGTGAACTTCTACACATGACTGCATCCTCCTGTGTCAATAAGTTAAGTTACCTAAATTTCGTAGTACTAATCTGTAAGCACGTTCAATGAAAAAAGTGTAAAAAAATAATAACTTCACAAGAACATCCACCAACATCGTTGAACAATGTTAGATACATTCCACGTCACTTTAGCAACTTTCCGAGGATTAGCACTCACCAAATGCAAACTGATTATTACACCGCTAATAACTTGTCCGATTCCAGACTAAGGAAATATGTACAAATCTTCATAACAACATTTACATTGCTTTATCAAAAGTGTGGCTATGAATGTGTTTGAGTGTCTGCTGTAGTTTTGTTTACCAAGAGCGATGCGCTGCTTTCTTTTTGTGGCTAAATCGTGAAGATGACATGGAACATGCATTAAGGCGACAGCGACACTCGAAATGCGGTAACTAATTAAAAATTAATTACTTCACAATGCCAGCTAACACTTGCGTACGTGATTGTTAGATATGTTGCAAGTAGGTGTGATCCTGCGCTTTTTGTCAAATATGAATACACACTTGTAAAGTGACAAAAGTGACGGCTTAGCTGGTCGCAATTTTGTGCTATCGATTGGATGCTTATTGGCTTTGAAGAGTTGCTCGGCCAGGTTGTCGTTGTCTACATGATGGCAACCGCTACTTTTTAATGTGAATTAATAAATTTGAACTGATTATTAGAAGATAAGAGTTTGATGTTTCGGCTTACTTGTGTTTGATACAGATTAATTCAAAATAAAGAGAGAGGGAATGATGTCCTCTGTTGTAGCTAAAAAACCTCAGGCATGGACGTGGCACCATAAGCTGACCGTAAATCTATGGAACCACTCAAGTATCTGTGAATTTGTTTGTTCCATTTGTGCTACTTATTTTTTCAACCTCTTGGTTCATTGGTGAGCCTGTCAATTGGAAAATTATGTGTACTTTGTTAAAAATGATCAAGCTGACTTGCATGCAATGCGGTCATTACTCATTAGTATTCTTTACACCGTTCACTTCCTTACACACCCTTCTCAGGTTCCCGGTTTTGGCGCTCTTGCCCGCTGATCAACATATAGTTGGCTGTAGCTGTTGCCTGTCTATCGTTTGCATTAATATTGCTTGGATACACATATCTTCGGCTCATTTGCTTTGCCATACCTTTGAATACAACAACTACGAACGATGTTTAGAAACAGGATTTGGATAAATCGAATTCACAGGTGGACAGAATGCACGCAGGTGTATGGTGCTGCACGGCCCACCGTTGAGCACTAGCGGAATACGAAAGGTAATTGAAAATTAGCCTTCTTTTGGACAACAAACTCTCCCCTTTTTACCATTTCCGCGGTGTAATTGATTTGAAGTCGTTGTGGCAAGTTGCTGCCGTTAATGGCCATGATCTGCATTGCTGCCAATCTGCATCTCTATTATGGAGACGAAGAATTTTATATTGCTACACAAAATGCCATTTTTTACTTTTTTCAAGGTATCTTGCAAGAATTTGACTACAAACGTTGTAGTTGTTATGACTGCACTGGGCATTGTAATGCCGGCTTACAATTAATTTTAACTATACTAACATGATCGCTCTTGGACTACTATATGTAGGCCTTTGTAAAGTCACAAAAATATAACTTTTATATCCGATCCTACAAGTCGACAAACCGCCTTAAGGCCTATAAATAAATCTGCTGAGCAGCTTAATTCCTATTCCCTCCGGCTCAGTAGGAAATCTGAAAGTTTTGGGTTCCAAGTGTTTGAACTTTCATCACGAGACGGACAAGCACGAAGAACTGTTTTTACGTCCTCTTCTTCCTTATAACTTCTAAAGTTGGCATCCGATAAGAGTCTTTACCTTGCAGCTTGTAAGCAGATAGGATAATGACTTGTTAGAACCTCCATAACTAGAGAGAAACTAACCCTACTGGGAGCAATGAGCTCTTTCGATCGACGTTATGCAAAAGGATCTTAAGACAGCGGAAGAACCAATAATAGAGGACCAAGCTAATGCGAAGCTCACCATTTAGTGGTATAACCCACAGAGATAGTGAAAAATGGGCCCGTTCTAATTTAAATGTGGGGTTAGGTTGCATGTACCTATCAATTCTTCAGTTTTACAGCTACCTAAGATTTCTCCGTGTTCTACAATCTAATAGCCTTATCAAAAACGACTAAATTGATAACGAGTCGTTAAGTAAAGAAGCTCACTGCCACTCTTTTGCAGCGGATTCTACTCACCCACCTCTCACCTGCCAGAATTTAGTTTGGCAACTACATGATCAAAAAGAACCGGTATGAAGTCAAAGCATGTAAGGATTTTCGAATGATCAGACATAACTATGTTCATTTAGAAACCCAGATTATCTGAGTCTAATAGCATCTTTCGCGGCCATACACCTCCCGCTTATATATGAGCGCAAATTGCAGGAAAGTATTAACTGCCTTGGTTGGTGTGAATCTTAGTGGATCAACTATGTGAATGAGCGCCGTTTATGAAATACTCTCGAGCTTCCCTGCAACTGTGGGCTTTTTCAGGGTTCTGTATTACGCAGAAACCCTTTAGAACACAATGCTTCTCAACTACCTTTGGAGAGGGACCCCAGCTTTTGCCAATTGCTGACAACCCCTAAACATATATAAATCTGGATCCGTTAACCGTAAAAATGACAGTGATGGGATTTTCTCTAAACTTGTTCTGAACTTGAGTTAATAAAATCTAACAAAGAAATAAAAGTGTTATTTTGATATAAATAATAAAAAATAAGGAGCCGATAATGTTGTTTGGTTGTACCAAACTTGTTAGTCTAATATATCGTATTGCCATGTTATATGTTATATCAATTATCAGTAATACTAGCATTTACGTGTGGATATATGTAGCTTTGTTTAGACACATATGGCTTAACTTGGAATCTTTTAAATTTGATTTTGAACTAATCGTATCAAAAATGCTAAAAGTTTTGTAGCCACTGCATTACATGTCTTGTTGAACATAAATGCCTTGTCTTGGCAACTCTAATAAAAAGACAAACTGTCAAAACAAACTAAATATTTACACAATTAAAGGCTAGAATTTGTTTGGAAGTTTAATAAATAAATATTTTTGCGGCTATTATTATAAAATACATCTAAAATGGGTAAACGGCAACATCAAAAGGATAAGATGTGAGTAATGAGTTTGCCATCGGGTGATTGTGGCTTATCATACCATAAATTTTTCGTACATCACTGTAGGTACTTGACGTACACGGAGTGGTCCGAACTTTATGGCGGCAAGAAAGTCGAGTCTGCAGAAAATGAGTACATCAAATTCAAGCGCCTTCCTTTTGATCATTGTAGCATTACAATGGTGCCGTTCGATACTCCCTACTGTGATGTTGATGGCAATGTTTTTAGTTTGGAGGCAATACATGCATTTATCAAAACATTCAAGGTGAATCCAATTACCGGCAAATCACAAGATGCAAAAGTTTTGATAAAGCTAAATTTTCACAAAAATGCCGAAGGAGAATATCATTGTCCAGCTCTATTCAAACCGTTTACTAAAAATACACACATTGTTGCACTTGCCACAACCGGCAATGTGTACTCGTGGGAAGCTATTGAACAGCTGAATATTAAAACGAAAAATTGGAAAGATCTCATCGACGACTCCCCATTTCAACGCAAAGATATAATTACCATACAAGATCCACATCATTTGGAAAAGTTTGACATCTCACGATTTCATCATATACGGAAAAATCTGCGTGTGCTCTCTGAAGAAGAGCAATTGGAACGTAAAGATCCCACAAAACGTATAAAAACAATGAACTTGGAAACTAAAGAAACACTAGCAGAACTGGAGAAAGACTATCAACCACCGGAAGAGACACCAAGCACTTCCAAGCGTACCGCCGACAAATTCAATGCTGCTCATTATTCTACAGGCGCTGTGGCTGCAAGTTTTACATCAACTGCGATGGAGCCTGTTTATAATCACGAAGCGGCTATAATTGAAGATGATTTGGTTAAATATGAGCGTGTAAAGAAGAAAGGTTACGTGCGACTGCAAACTAATTGTGGACCACTAAATTTTGAATTGTATTGTGATGCTGTGCCTCGTGCTTGTGATAACTTCATGCGACATTGTTGTGACGGTTATTACAATAATACCAAATTTCATCGTTCAATACGAAATTTTATGGTTTGTTATATTTTCCAACGTTGCACCTTTATTTTAATGTTTATTATTAATTTTTAAAACTTTTTAGATACAAGGTGGTGATCCAACTGGAACTGGTACAGGCGGTACATCGATTTGGGGTAAAAAGTTCGACGACGAATTTAAACCAAATCTCTCTCACTCTGGTCGAGGTATGCTCTCAATGGCGAACTCCGGACCAAATACAAATGGGTCACAGTTGTAAGTACTGACACGCCTGATTGAGTGACAAATTCTTTAACTATTCCATCTTTTACAGTTTTATAACATATCGTTCTTGCAAGCATTTAGATGGGAAACATACAGTTTTTGGGAAATTAGTTGGTGGCATGGATACATTAACACAAATGGAGAAAATTGAAGTGGATAATAAGGATCGTCCCATTGAAGATATAGTCATTGAATCTGTGCAAGTATTTGTTGATCCATTCAAAGAGGCTCTAGAAGAATTGGAAAAAGAGCGTGCCGCGGAAATAGAAAAACAAATACAAACCGCAGCAGAGGTTAAGAAGCAAAAACGATTAAATGAACCACTCAAAGTGTATCGACAAGGAGTTGGCAAATATTTGAACCTAACGGAGGCAAAAGCCAGTGGTACCGACAATAGTGTGAAAAACGATGCCACAAAAAAGAAACACAAATCTATAGGCAAAGGAACCTTCGGGGATTTTTCTACATGGTAGATTTAGATTTATTCATATAAACGCTTAGATTACCTATCTGTATAAATCATAAGTTAAAAAATTAACAAATATTTTTTGTATATGAAGAACGCTTTCACGCCTTTTCCTCGTTGTCACCAATTGTTTGCTCCCGTTCTTTCCAGTTCTTTTTCATTTCATTTAATTTTTGCTGTCTACGCTTGCGTTCAGTCGACTTTTTTGATTCAAGAATTTTTAATTGTGCTGCTACAGAATTCTCCGCATTAAAATGGGCATCCAATTTTTCCAATAAAAGTTTTCTTGCTTCTATACGGTTTTTAGAAGCCAGTCGATGCGTATGACATTTAATTGTTATATTTGTTGGGATGTGACGCAAGAATACACAGTTAGACGTTTTATTAACTGATTGCCCACCAGGCCCACTACCGCGCATGAAATCCTCCTCCAAATCGTCCTCATTTAATTTTGGGTACTTTGAGTAATCTATTTTACTGTTGGTGGTTTTAAAGCGGTGGCAAGTTGTAGACTCTGCTAAGCTGGTAGGTAATGTATTGTGACAAGCGACAGCTCTTCCTAACAGTCGTTGCAACATTGCTGCTGTTAAGCAACAATTTAAAGGATGCGTCCTTTCCGCAAAAGCGTTTCACCACGCTAGAAGGAATTATGCAAATATATTAATGATAGGTTAGTTTGGGTTTTTTGTAAATTAGTTACCTTGAAATTGAATTCTATTTGCACTGGATCGCTTAGTCCACGACCCTCTCTGAATTCGCGTCGTATGCGACCCAAGAAGTAGTTCTTGTCTGTAAGTTGCAATTGATTGCCGTAACGTATTAGATGTTTGTAAAGGCGTAGTATCTGCTGCTTAGAAGGTTGAAACATTTCGATTTTATTCTAAAGGTCTATTCACTAATTTTCTTGACAAAAAAAGTTGTCCACTTTGATGCAATGCATGCTCGATTGAATAAGACCGCTGTGCCGAACTATCAGCTGTTATTTGTGGTTCTAAAACTGTTAATGCTGATAAGTCACGCCTTCAGTTACTCTCAAACTGCTAACATGTTTAGAGAGCTTGTGTTCATTACTAAATTGACAGTTTAACTGAAGTTCCGGATATTACCGAATTATTCTAAAATTTGAATGTAATTTAACAGCCATCTGTCAGTTAAGTTGAGGTTGAGGTTTCAAAGTTCAATTATCGTTATAAGTCTTCGAAAGCTATTTACAAATATACTGACTTTCAAATTTCGAGCGAAGAAAAGAAAAGAAAAAGTGAAAAATATGTACATAAGTGTGTTTATGTATGTACATCATATATAGTACTTATGTATATGACGTATTTGCCCTGTCTATAATCCGTCTATAACAACTTCCTCAATAAGACATACCAAAGCATTGCAGTGCCGCGACTTTATAAACTCAACTTGAAGGAATGCAAATTTAAATTCCACATTTTAACGAACTTAGGCACTCCACATCATTTGCTCACACAACCATGCACAGACCTCAGAGAGGCTCGGACCACAGCTTGTCAGTTTAATTGGACATTCCAGACAACATTGCAAATGGACTTCTCACAAGCAGGTGCCTACAGCCGAACAACGCTTACCTAGCAATAAGCGTAAGTACAATGCTTGAATAATGTTCATTTGTATTTATTGTGGTTATGTCGGGGATAATAATCTACCACAGAATGCTCGAAAGGAAGTGCAAGTCTCGTAATAGAAGGCAAAGCCAATCTTAGACAGTGATCGGCAATGCAGCGCTTGTTAATGAGACAAATGCTCGTCTCAGCGTTCAATCTCAATGAATGTTGACTGCTGCGACTGCAAATTTGCTGCCTCAAGTATTTGTGTAATGCTAATGCTGCCGCGGTAGCTGCCTGCTGCAGATTACTGCCGCGATGGCGGCGTCGTTAATTGCCACTTGCCTGACTGCTGGAAGCTATCCCGATAATCGCGCACTTTGCTGGCGTTCGGTTGCTGAAGTTTGCATGAATGGCGGAGCGTTACAGGTTGTTGCCACTTGCCATTACTGGGCTGTTGTTGTTGTGCATCGGCAGCTGCAGCAATCGATAAATGCCTTCAATTATCGCCAATTCATCTTCCAGTGTGGCGAATGCCCTCCGCGGACATATGTGCTTAATTGGACAACATGAATCGGCATGTTGCCTCTACACGCGGCTGCGTACTCAATCAATTCTTTGTGGCAATTGTTTGTATTTGCAAGAGATTAAAACGTTTCTTGAAAGTTTTTGACGGTTACAAGTTGTAAGTTTACGTCATGGTAGTATTGAAGTGACGGTCTAATGGACAGAAGGACTTAAAATACATACACACTCAGACAGAAAAGATGACAAATACTATATGACTGCGTTCATATACGGTATTTACATACGTACATTATGCGGAAATTTCAGTTTTCGCCCTAAAAAAAGGATCCAATGTAAACAAGATTTCTATTTTCAAGTTACACCGTGACTAAAACACATTTTTCCCCATATATTGGGTAGTCGAAAAAGTCTTTTCGTAAATCTCCAGTGCTACTAATCACATTGTGTCGTACCGTACAGTGTTGGAAGGGTGAGATTTTAAGCTTCATTTAACCAAAAAAAGAAATTAATTCGGGAAAGCTGAAAAAATGTTACAGCTATTAAAAAAGGGAAGAATGCCACGCAAGACAGCAATGAAATTTGTGAAGTTTACGAAGACGATGTTCTTTCACAACAATGGTTCGCTCGCTTCCGCTCTGAAAATTTCGATGTGAAAGATGCACCTGGCTCTGGTCGACCTATCGTTGAAAAAATCGATGAAATTATGGAAAAGATTGACCAGGACCGTCACATAAGCGTCCATGACATCGCTAAGGAACTTAACATTCATCATCAAAAGCTTTTGAATCAATTAGGAAAGGCTGGTTGCAGAAAGAAGCTCGATCTTTAGGTATCACATGAATTGTCTGTGAAAAATTTAATGTACCGAATTCACATCTGCCATCTTTTCTGCAACGAAATGAAATCGAACCAATACTGAAGCGAACGGTAACAGGAGACGAAAAGTGGGTTAAATACGGCAATAAAGTGCAAAAAAGATAATGGTCCAAGTGTAATGAAGCTCAACAAATGGTCGCAAAGGCAGGATTGAAGTCTCGAAAAGTTATGCTGAGAGTTTGGTGAGATTATAAAGGAATCATCCACTATCAGCTGCTCCAGTATGGTAGAACGATTTATTCTACATTTTATTGTCAAAAAGAAGTAACCAATCGAGAAAAACAGTCGAAACTGATCAATAGGAAAGGTTTCGTCTTCCATCAAGACAACGCTAGACCACACACATCTTTGATGACTCGGCAAAACTGGGAGAGCGTGGCTGGAAAGTTTTGATGCATCCACTTTATAGCCCTGACTTTGCACCATCGATCTATCATTTGTTTCGGTCAATGCAGAGCTTCCTTAATGTAGTAAAGTTGGCTTCAAGAGAAGCCTGTGAAAAGTATTTGTCGCGATGTTTCGCCGAGAAACCAGAAAAGTTTTACACTGTCTCTAACGGAAAAATGCAAAAAAGTGGTCGACCGAAGTGGTACATATTCGTTTATTTATTTATTACTATAAATTTAAAAAAATAAGTTGAAGTTTTATTAGAAATACGAAAAAACTTGTTCGACCACTTGGTACATTGTAAAAATGTCAACATAATACTAGCTATGCCGACTTAAGCAGCTGCTATAAATAAATTGGTTGACCGATCGCGATCTTATTTGGTGTGGTAATTAAGGAGTTATTGCGATTTAAACGCAATTTCAAGCTGGCGAATCCCAGTTATTGTTCAATGCAAATTACATATCCGAAAAAGCTAGTCTTAAAATAAAAAAATTAGACGCTTCAATTAAAGGCATTTTAATATATTTTTAAAAAAGTATTAACACTCTCGTACATACATATGTACAATGTACATAGTATAAGCGATTGATTGTGCGCAATTGCGTTAAAATGGCGCGAATTATGAAGACCACTAAGTGTCTAACTAACGCCATGTTCGCATTCAAAGCCAGCAATAGTTTCATTTAAGCTGTTTACTTGTCGCTTGACCGCACATGTTTATGTATGCGTTAGTGCGTAATAAATACAAATGTGGCTGATTTGGCTGTTCAAATCGCACGCAACAACAAACATTTTGAATTAAATGACAATGTGCAACCAATCAGGTACATTTTGGTCGATTTGCTTTTATTAAATAAAATTGAAAACAAAATTTAACCAAAACCAGTCTAGAAACCTGCTGAGACGCGTATGTGAGTGCTGCGTTAAGCGCTGAGGCCTCAACGCTACAAATGTGTAACCTTTTTAAGCACCTAATCAGTGCTAATTTTTATACTCTCGCAACAAAGTTGCTAAAGAGAGTATTATAGTCTTGTTCACATAACGGTTGTTTGTAAGTCCTAAAACTAAAAGAGTCAGATATAGGGTTATATATACCAAAGTGATCAGGGTGACGAGTAGAGTTGAAATCCGGATGTCTGTCTGTCCGTCCGTCCGTCTGTCTGTCTGTCCGTTTGTCCGTCCGTCCGTGCAAGCTGTAACTTGAGTAAAAATTGAGATATCATGATGAAACTTGGTACACGTATTTCTTGGCTCCATAAGAAGGTTAAGTTCGAAGATGGGCAAAATCGGCCCACTGCCACGCCCACAAAATGGCGGAAACCGAAAACCTATAAAATTTTGCACAAAGGATCGCACTAGGGAGGGGCATATTTGGACGTAATTTTTTTTGGAAAAGGGGCGTGGCCCCGGCTCCTATTAACTTTTTTGTGCATATCTCGAAAACTACTATAGCTATGTCAACCAAACTGTATAGAGTCGTTTCTTTTAGGAAATATTTTCGGACAATAAACACGCCCACCTCCCATACAAAGGTTATGTTGAAAATCACTAAAAGTGCGTTAACCGACTAACATAAAACGTCAGAAACACTAAATTTTACGAAAGAAATGTCAGAAGGAAGCTGCATCCAGGTTTTTTTTTTAAATTGAAAATGGGCGTGGCGTCGCCCACTTATGGACCAAAAACCATATCTCAGGAAGTACTCAACCGATTTGATTGAAATTCGGTATATAATATTTTCTTAACACCGTGATGACATGTACCAAATATGGGTGAAATCGGTTCACAAACACGCCTGAAATTTCGATTATCACTTTATCATGCGAGAGTATAAAATGTTCGGTGACACCCGAACTTAGCCCTTCCTTACTTGTTTATAGCATTTTTTATTCTCTTTAATTTCAATTTTAACTTTAATTTTTTTGCCGGCATTTGAATTTAAATTTAATTTAATTTTTAGTTTAAATTTTTATTCTGATTTTAATTTTCGGAAAATATTTAAATTTAAATTAATTTTAATTTTGAATATATTTTTAATTTTATATATTTTTTTAAATTTAATTTAATTTTAATTACATTAATAATTTAAATTAATTAATATTTGCTTTCATATTTTTAATTTTTAAAATAATTTTTCACTTTTATGCTCGTGCAACTTGTTAGATTCGAATGTTTTTCTGTTTCAGCATCACTCCACTATTGAAGCAAAATATTGAGTTAAAAAATTACAATGCGTTTGAATTGCTGAATTGCCCCTCACTTGGAGTCCACATAACTGCGTCTTTTAGCTCAAATATGTTGCAATGCATAAGTTCGCAGCATGTATGTTGCAGTTGTTGCAACGAGTTGTAACCGCATTTGCAAGCATCTTCACGAACTTCACGTTTGATTCGCGTTTATCGGCTGCTGCGTTGCTACTTGCTGCGAATCGAAGCTGCGCATGCGCAAAATTCTCGTTGACAAATGTTATTTGTTTTTGTTTTGCAGACGGAACGAGAGTAGGCGAACAGTTAACGCATGATTGCTTCCATTCTAATCAGTCTTTGATAGTTGGCACACCATCCCGGCGGAACAGGTTCGCTAAGAATTCAAATATTTCTTGCTTTTTGTGGTTCTTCATTTTCGCTTTTTGGTGACGAAAAGTCACGCGATGGGTTGTCTATCGCTGTCAGCAACTGCGTACATTAATTTGCATCGTCCGTAACATGTCCGTCAGTTGCGTGCTACTCCGGTTTAGCGGGGGGAAGTACCATCACAGTGTTACATTTTAAAGTACATCATTATTACATATTTAAATTTACAGATACATTTTATAAACACTTTTATATTGAAATTTTACGTTACGTTTGTTAATAATTCTCTGAGGTAAATTTTTTACGTAGTGGGTCCCAAACCCAGCAGGTATGGTTCGCCTTCTCACCTTAGTTTGCCTCAAAACAGAGGCCCCTAGGCTACCCAGACGATACTTGGTCTCAGATCGGAAGTCGTGAGATGCGTGAGCCATATGCAAAAGAATCGCGCCATTCCCAAGTGAATGACAATCAGCGAATTTTCCATCGCCTTGTTGAAACCAAATGTCGCCGAGATCACAAGCATCAATTTCAGGCATCAAATAGCCGGTTATCATGGCGCGATAACATAATCACCGATAACATTTTTGAAGAAATATCGACCGATGGTTCCACAGACCGATGCTTGGGAAGGTCGAGCGGCTTCACTCCATGCACAAGCGATATTTTGTACACTATCAATTTAAGATCACGACGAGATCGTTATAGTCCACGGTCTTCGTGTACACTCTCAGCTACGGCTGTTATATTTTCTTCACTGCGTGTTGGGGGTGGTCTATTCGTAAAAAAAAAATAAACATTTCTCTCCTGTGCATGGGCACCTTCAGTAGGCTGCTGTTTCTGCTCTAAAAGAAGCGACTTGTCAAGTTTATTCACAGACGGTTGAGGCAAATTCATATTATAAACTTCACTTACAGGTTATGGCCCTCTCACTTTTTTTTTGTTTTCTTGCCTGAAAAGGTCGATGGACGACAAGCATGTTAAGATGACAGAGGGGATCCAATCAGAATGCACCTCGGATCTCAAGACCATTCCGGAGACGCCTTCAATGCTTGGAAATTGCGCTGGCAGCGCTGTATCGGCCCAGAAGGTGTCTATTTCGAAAGTTTTTAAAGAATTGTAACGATTGGTTCAATAATTTGTTTCTAAATCGACTCAGTGCTATTACTTAGTCGGACAAACCCTGTAAATTTATTGCCCAGACTCTTTTACATTGTTCGTAAATTTAATAAACTACTAATAAAAGTATTTTTTTTTTAATTATTTTTATCTTCTTACGAGTTTTTGTACTTTTCATTCTTCATAATCCTTGCAATTTCTTACCTTACCTTGGCTATAGATTTAGGCGGTTTCAATAACTACCTGCCACACCGTTCGAAGGATAGATAGTTAGCGATCAGTTGCGTGTCTGCACCAGCGAATAGCTGCCGGCGACTGTCAACTGTCTTACCAATTACATCCTTGAGCCATTTGCCAAGTTATAGAGCAGATATTTCGTGTGAAGTTGGAAAATCAATCACGCGATACACATATATTGAGGCAGGCACGGCATATTTTATAGTTTTTGTATTATTTTTTTACGGTTTTTATTACAGTTCATACATCACGTTACACTGATACAGTATATTTAGATTAAACATAATCGACACCCTTAAATATATCGATATTATGTTTCGTCAATATATCATACATGTTTCTTATTTGTTGTGTTATTTCAAGGTTGGTTTCCTCGCCGCCTCGGCACATTGTGTCTTCTCTTACTTCTTCAATAGTGAACTGTCCCGCAAACATTTCCTCCATTCCTCCTTCCATCGGCTCCACCAATTGAAAGAGAAAATGCGATGCGATGCTAATGCTGTAAGGTAGCAAACGCCAATATTCGCGCAGAAGAGATTCACGGCTGAAACAGAAATTTTGTGTAAAGTCCTGTACACTTACGCAACCATTATATACTGCAATGCATACCTAAAATACTCAGGTATCTGCTCCTCTTTAGTGTTCTCCTTGAATGCTTTGACCAGACTTGTGTAGTACTCATCGAATATTTCGTCGAAATGATTCTGACGAACTGCCGTGTAAGTAGACAGGGATAAGAAGGTGGCAAAATCTAACATTGGCGAGGAAATTCGCACTGTTTGCATATCGAACATCAGCGAATCTATTGGCTGTTCGGTGCCCTACGAGAATATTGATATAAAAGTTAGATCTCCACTTCGATCACTTCATATACCTACTCACATTTACTTCAGCATACTTGAAGGCTATATTGTTGCGTAAATAATCGCCGTGACAAAGCGTCGCTAGTGGTTCTACCGGCGCGACCATTTTGCGACCAAACAAGAGGTACTCACTAATCATTTTGCAGTAGCGGTTTATGAAAGACTCCTCTATGTGTGGCAGATACTTCCGAGTGGAAATCCCAAGGCGCTCCGCGCTAAATTTAACCACCATTGCCCATTCACCAAGTATCTCCGTAACATCGTAGCGTGGTTCCCGCAGCGACTGTGTTAGGCGCTTGAACTCAGCGGGGTTTTTATGTTTCAATGCGAAACCCGTGCCGTGAAAAGTACCCAGATTTTTCACTAAAAAGAAAATCACATTTTGGTTGTTGTATGCTATGAAGCTTCTTTCAACTAAGTAACGGATATATTCTCTTACACGCCACAAGCGCATGCTCCAAGGAGAGATTGACTTTCTGCTTGGCCATACGGAAATTGTCGGTGACAAAGTCTTTCATTACCATTATGGCTGAACAGTTTTGCAGGTCTCCATAGTAGAAGCGGGGAACATTAAATCTATGTCCGGTAAATTTTTCTAACCCGGGTAGAATATTGTTGTAAGCTACGATCTCGTTGCTAAATAGCGCACGAAATACGTTATCGAATACCTCTGGCGGTATATTTGGAGTTTTCTGTAATTGAAGTTTTCAAAAATCGAAAAATCGAAAAATGAAATAAGAATATTGAAATTGTATTATAAGGACAAGAATAAAGAAGATATAAATTTTATTGCGAATTTTCCTGTTAATATCTTAATTATAAGTACTCCAACGAGTCATTAAATGTCTTACATGTTGCTTAACCTTGCGAAAGCGTGGATTGCTTTTGAAATAGCTAAACTAAAAAATAAATAGAAAATAACTAAAATTACTTCTCTCTGCCACATTTAGAGCATAAGTACTGTATACTGGATAGCAGCTGATCTACAATCATTTCAAAAGCAAAAAAGCTAAGCTAGTTACTGATATGTGGCTACGTGTTACTCTGTTCTACCCAAAATTTCCGTGGTGATTAAAGCGTCACACAAAAAACGGAGAATGAATAAGCACTTTCTAGAAAATCTCTTTGCAATTTGTAACTCGGTCTTATCTTATAACTTATCGTATAACATTAAACTGATGAAACAGTTGTATAGGTTAAAAAAAATTATAAAATTTTTATAGGTTTTTGCGAAATATATGTGTATGTATACATTTTGACAAAAAGTGAGATAATTTGTAATAATACGCAAATATTTAATTATTATTGTATAATCAATATACATTTTGTCGCCTTCAAAGTAATCCACTTATGCAGTTTTTTTTAGTCTTCGAAGCCTTCATCTCCTTCAGCGAATTTTGTTTTATTTCTTCGGTAAACAGGAAGGCGTTTCCACGGAGCGCCAATTTCAGTTTAGGGAACAAGGAAAAGAAACACCGAGCTGAATCTTTTCATGATGTATTAGCGTCGCGTAAAATTCATGAATTGTTCTTCCACAATTCCGGCCGTTTTCATCGGATGTTCTCATATAAACGCCTCTATAGGGCCAAAAAGAACTCGTCTCTCCCTCCGGAACAAATTCATGTTACACCAAAAGACGAATATGAAAAAAAAAATTATATTCTTATTTATTTTTTGGCTTGGTTTTTTCCTACATTCCCTTGATTGTTGACTTGTTTGTATGTCTAACTCATAAACCCATGTCTCAGGGGCAGTTATAATGGCGCTTTATGAATATGTGAACGGAATTCGCACAATCAAGCATGTCCAAGGAGACCTGTTTACGGTACACTCTTTGAAAAAAAAAAAAAACATTTTTATCAGGACGAGTCGAGCTAGAACGCGTTTCATATAAATCCACCAAATTCATTCGAACGGTTTCGTGAGAGATCTCTTGCCAGCGCTCTCTTGGTTGACGATTTTCATGCATCACATCCTTTATATTTTTTAATATTTTCATTAGTTGAAGAGGTATAAGGTCATCCAGAACGAAGCTTGTCTTCAACGACCTCTCGATCGTTTTTTAAGGCTTTGTACCACTCGTATTCTGTGTTGGTAGGTTTGGCATGTTAACTAAGAACAGCCCTAATAACTGACTTACATGTTTTTGAAATATCATTTACCCAAGGAATTTAATTACAATTTTCGGGATATAAATTGAAGAGTAAAAAAACAAAATAAAAATAAAATTTAACGATTGTAAGATCAAACAACGAACTATATTTACTTCGAAAGCTGTTTAAAATATGTTGAAAACCATAAAATTTCAGATATGCAGAGTTTTGAATTGTCGGACTACTTTCCGAAGGTTTTGCGCCGTCGACTTTTTTACAAAAATAATTTTTTTTTCAACTGTGTAACTTCAAATTCGTGTAGAAAGAAACCATGTAAAAAATAGTTTGGGTTACTATAAGTACTTATACGGATACATAGGTGTGCTGGATCTTAGGTTTTAGAAAGGATCAGTTTTGTATTAGAAATTAAGTTTTGTATTAAAGAAATGTTGTCTATAAGAAATTAATAGACATTGTTTAAGACATTCCATTTATTTCGGACATACCTAATGCACATGTTTATAAAATCTTTGTCAAGAATACTCAATCATCAATTCACTCTTCACTCGTAAAACACTTCAGACTCATAAGACACTTCAGACTGACGCTACAGATTGCAAATTTATATATATACTCAAATATATACGTATGTACATGTATGTAATATTTAATAGCTTTTAATATATATGGCTTGTAATATGCAGTAGAACTCAAGATATTTTGTGTAAATGCGCCGTTACATGCCAAACGAATATCAAAACAATTTTAAACTTTTTTTTTGCAATTCTTGTGTGAAGCAATTTTCTGCACTTATTTTTGGTTGCACCACTGAACTCACCTTAACAACGATCGTTGTTGATATTTCAGGTTTATCGCCTTGCTGCAGTTTGATTATAGCCCGATAACAGGTGGTCAACATGAAAGCTTCTTCGACCCCGATAAATTTTAACTGCACATCGAGCAGTTTTACATTGTCTGTGGCGCCGTCAATTAAGTTGTCTGTCCGAAAATTTGTATTTTCTAAAAGCTTTGGAAAAAGTGTGCACTTAATCCAATCAATTTCCACTTTGACTTTTTCTTCGAGTGCCGCCGTCATTTTTGCCCAGAATTTCACAATATTCACCGCTAAAACGTTTCACCCGTTCGTACTTAATATCACGCTAGTACTGAACTGCCAGTTACTAGTGTGAGATATATATTTAAAATTTTTCATTCAAAATCGAGACACTATATGCCTTACAGTCTGTTAGTACTTGATTAAACGAATGAGAGCGAACAGAAATAGGTGTACTACAATATTTATCTGGGAGATCCATTATTGGACGTGCGAGTACTTCGTAAATACTGATTAAATAWATGACACTTGGCTCTCCATGCAAGGAAGGTAGCTTGAAAGAGCATTGCGTGTTGTATAAATACGAGAGTTCGGACATGACAAGCAAAAATAAACTTTAATTACATTGTTGAAAACACTTGTTGAGCTGGTTAAATTCTTGTTTTTTTCAAAAACAATTATTGAAGTCTTATCGCGGCACTATTTTTGTTATCATGAATGATATATGTGGGTAATAAATGCCAGATTATTCTCTTAAATGAGAGATATACACTTATCTGCTATATTTGAAAAGTAGTGTCGTTTAAATGATTTGTAAAGGATAAACGTTTTCTTTAACATTTTATTTAACTCATTATTATTGAGTTAATTATTAATTTACACTTACAATTCTTTATATATCAAAAGACTGTGTCACGTTTTTTGTATGCGATGGACTCCAAAACTACTGAACCGATTTTAGTTAAATTTAGCACATTGCGTCCGTTAGTAAAAACAATTCATATATAAATAATATAGTTAAAGCTCTATTGAATGGACGCCCAACTAAGCGGCCATCTCCATTAACCATGCGAGACGTCATTTTTTAGATAGTTGTACTCAAAAAATGTCCTTAATCCAAGTCTTTAAGAATTGTATCTCAAAGAACTGTGTAAAGTTTCATTAAGATCGATTGAGTAGTTCTCGAGAAATCTTGGTAACCGACTTCAAAAACATAGTTTCGAGAAAAACGCGTTTAAAGACGCCGTAATTAGATTAGCTAGCCTCGAATGCATAAGTGTACAAGGCAGTGTCTCCGACACTACTACTCCGATCAACTTGAAATATTCCAGAGGTGTTGTAGAATTTATCAAGACAATTGATCGATTTTTTGAAACCCGTAAACCCATGTAACCCCTTTGGCTAATATAAGCATTCCAACGTTTAATCCAATTTTCCATATATTTCTTATAAGACTCGGCTGCGATCGCCTTTGGCGTCTTCAATAAAATTCAGTGTTTCAGATTCGGTTTATTTTTGGAACGCCATTSATTGATTGTTGAACAATTTCGATGTCATTTTAATAAATCTTCGTCCCATCAACAGTAATGATACGTTTGATAAATATCGGGTTTGTTGCCTTGTCAAACAAATCTTTGCTACACTTAATCAACGTTTGCAAATGATACTTAATAGAAGCTGAGTCCTCTGTTATCTTTCTGTTGTCAAGAGGACGATTTTCAATCACTATTTATTTAACTTTTTTCATGTTATTGTCATTAATGAAGGTGGATGGACTACTCACATGAGATGAGTTTTCGATGACTTCACGACCTTCAAGCTTTGGGTCACTAAAATACTTGTGGAAGTAGATACCTCAAAACACTTATGAATCATTTCCAAAGATTCCATAGTCGGGATTTGATGGGGAACACAAAATTTCAACCCAACTCGTTATTAATTTTTTTTTCAAAGGTCATTATTTGCGCGAGCAGTTTGAACTGAACAGTTTGTGTTAGAGCTACAAAACTTTCGATAGTTGGATTATCGATAGTTGGAAAAAAATACTATAGAAAATATCGATAGTTTTTGCTCTGGAAATCTACTTACTTTTCACTGATTTAAATTAAGAGACCTTGCTTTTATACACTTCATTTATATGAAATAATCTTTTTCATGTTGCTATTATAAACTGGTCTGAGAACTGACGAGATATAAAAAGTTTGAAAAAATTTTACATTTATACTCAAAACACGTTTCAGATAATTCAGGAAAATGATTCTGGGACAACTATCCTTGCAGCCAGTTATCGGTTTAATCGCTGTTTAATTACCCAACAGTTCAAAGATTTCTGTTAAAGTTAAATTCCAACCGAAACTCTTTCCTAGGAGTGATTGTTCATCTTTTTCTTACGCATTCGGCTTATTAGTTGCATGGTGTGGTGTACACACTAGCTTCCAGCTCTTTGTGACTTGATGCACAGTTAAACAATATAAGATTTAAAGCATAAACCATGGATAGTTAAAATAATTATCGCTAGTAAGACAATAACAAAACTATTGAAAATCACATCGATTATTTTGCAGCGCTATTTCGAGTTAAATTTGATCAAATGGTATATCAAATTTCCACAGAAGTTGTGACATTTAACGTGAGCTTTCTTTGAAATAAGGCCATACAAGTATGTCGAGGAACAAAAATCAGTCATTTATTTTAAGAACTGTTCCAAAAATGAAACAATATTATACTGGCATATTGTGCTGCTTGAGACTGTATAAAAAATACCTTTGAGTTTTTTATGAGTATTAAGAAATATATTGTAGATATATGTACACATTAAAACAGTTATCTTTTCTCAACGCCGGAACACTTTTAGCGCAAAGCATTGTTAGTATATTTCAATTCGCTTAACATGTGGGGTTTTTATTATGAAATACAATTTATTAAAAATTAAATATCATCAAACTTAAATACAGTGTTATATGCGTGACTACGACTCTGCTGCTCTCGGATTTTAAATAATTTTATTCTCATTCCTCTCTGATTACAACTACTCTCTGTTGATTTATCTTCAATGAATGAATTTATTTTCATCATTTAAACACGGATTCCGTCAAATAGCTGTGAGATATTCTATATACTACATTTATGTCTATATATGCATGTACATAAGTATCCATTAAGAGAAAATCACTTCATGGCGGCACACTTAAATACACGCGTAATGTGCCAAAGTCCATTAAATCTCCAACAGTTAAAGAAGTAGAAATATTTTTTTACTATACATTATTTATTGCCGTCATTATTCAATTATTTTGCTATATAACAGTAATATTAGCCGCCATAACCGTTATAAAGCCATATGTTTATTTACTAATTTATGATCCTTCAATTGTTTAAAAAATTAAATCTGCACAAACTCCACGCATAAATCAATGATAAGTCACTTTTCTGCCGCTCTTCAGCTCTTCAGCTCTCCAGCTCATTGCTGCTATTTTCTACATAAAAGGATAACTATTCACGGGCTTATAGCTTATGGCTTATGGCATTTGCCCGGGGATTTATGGGCGCAACAATCAGCATGAAATAAATCAAATCTCTGATTTGTTTTCCACTTATTGTCTAATAAAGAGATATTGCGAATGCGACGACTTGAAGCAATTGAGAATGGCAAGCGCTGGGCTATTAAGCTGGCTCTTTTTGCTTGGGATGGTGGGATAAAGCGCGGCTGCAGTTGTTGACGGTCACTATGCCGGTTGCTGATGCGGCAGCGCGGGTGTAAAGGTGTATTGCAGTTTATAAGCGGGTTTACTTTTTTTAGTTTTTGTTTGTGCCATCGTTGTGTTCAAATACGAGGTTTGATTTAATATTTTTAAGCAGTGCAGTCACCCTGTTCTTGGTTGCTGCCTGTGCTAACTGTTTGTTTATTAAAAGCTGTAGAGTAATAACCAGCGGTAGACGTTGGCAGTTTATTGGCTGCCTATATGTACTGTTATTCATGACTTTAATGACCTTTCGCCTTTTAAAATATATCAATCTGATGAGTATCTGCAGATTTGTAGAAAATGTTCTGCAATCAGGTCGTCTATAAGGGGTTATATCTAGTTGGAAATGAGTAAAAAATCGTTTTTTTTTTATCAACAGGAATTTTTATTTAATATTAAAATCGAAATTATGCGTATTTACAGAGTTTAGTACTCCTTGAAAATCTGAAATTCATTTTGAAATAACTTGGATCCCCTCGATCCCATAACCGATTTCCAGTACGACCTTCGAAATCCAAGCTCCAAACCAATTTTTTATTACAATAGGAATATTAGTAATAATTTTGATTTTTTGACCGAATGGCATGTTCCACAAAAAAATTTTTGTTTTTGAAAAAGTTTCCTAGAAAATCGAATTACCAAAAAATCTTATTTGTTCGATCTCTGGTTGAGAAATATGATGTATCTAAAAATTTTCAATATGTTCGGTCTAACCGTTTCGGAGAAATTTTTCTCACCGACTCTGAAAACACTTGGCCAAAAGCATTACATTAATTATCGCCAGTCTTCATATTCACCAGACATTGCTCCGTGCGACTATTTCCTATTTCGAAAAATAAAGAGAACCCTAAAGGGCCGTCATATTGTAAGCTGAAAAAGCTAAAGGCTATCCCAAAAATCGCAAGAAGTGCTGGAATAAATGCATAATATCGAACTAGTTCGAAGGCAAATTAATAATAATATATCTTTCATAAACTATAATTTCCGTTATTTTTTAAACAATTTCCATATACATATGTACATATATGTATAACATACACCTAAGGTCATTAAATAGTACATTATGGAGAAAGCACATCGGTATGATTAACATCAGCCTTCTATTCGTTTAATTTTTACCCCATATCGCTCGACCGCCTGTTGATGCACGTGCTCTTTGTCAAGGTCTCTCCTTCGGGTCTATTAGTCAACATCCCCTGCTTTATCCGTGTCTTAAAAACGCTTCTAATTGGTTTTTATTTTGATTATTGTCTTTCTGTTTGTATAAACTGCGAAGTAAACAAACTATTCGTTTACAATCTCTAAGTTATCGTCTAAAGAGAGTTGAGTATGTGAGAGAGCACACAGAAATAATTTGCATGCGCTGTACATGCTTCAATGTTCTTTGTTGCTCTTTCAAAGCTCTTTGCTCTTTCTAGCTCTTTGCTAGCCCGAAGCGAAAGCAAAAATGTTGCGACTTGTTGAGAGAATTTTGGTTTTTCTTCTCATCATACTCTTTTTTTAAAAAATATAATTTTAATAAATAAAATTTAACGCTTTTCAAATACCTTAAATGGAAACCAAAAATATTTCTGCCGAGCTCATATCCGCCTGCTTAGCTTAGCGATAGTTTTTAGGAAAATAAAACTGCTGAAACTTAGTAAATCTTTAGAAGGTCTCTCTTTTCAAAATCATTACTACTGGGAAGTCAAATTATGGAGTTAAAAATTAAAAGACATATTTATTTTTAAGCCTGAAAAATCACTGGTTCCAAACCCAATTATTCTCACTCCCGTTAGATAATTTTTTTTATAAATGGTTAAAAATATAATCAGAATATAAGAGTTTACAAGAAATAATGCAGTTAAAAACCGAACTAAACAGTTTTCTCTCAATAATTCAATACAATAAATTCGAGTCTGCATTTATTGAATTCCAGCACTAAAAAGTTTAATCTATTCAATTGCGCTAAACAATAGCAAGGCACAAGGAATGCCAATCATATTGCGAAAGGCCAGTGCCGGTCCTCACGTCTGCCACTTCAACACTCTTGGCAGCCGGAAATTAAATTTCCTCGGCGGAAATTTATTCAAATGCAAAATCGCGCAAACGTCTGCCTTCGCTCTTTAATTTCCACAGAAATGCCGGTCTCCGGCGTGACAATGCCGCCTTCACAACTTGGCAAAGTGAAAACAAACAAGTCGGAAAAGCCAAAACAAAGCGTCACAACTCGGCAAGATTGCGGCGAAAATATGGAGCAGAGGCCATGGCCAGACGGCTGGCTGGCTGGCAAACTTGTGTGGCCTAGTCCAACGGCACTAGCAGTCAGTTGGCGAATGCTCACCAAAGCGATCGGTCGTGTTTGCGCTTCGGAAAATAAAATCCATTTGGCGTCTAACGGTGGTACAACACATACATATATGTGCGCATGTGCTTGCTTGGAAATCGTGTCATAGCGGTAGTTTGTGTGGGTGAATCTAAAGCAAGGCGAAAATCACACTCCCCCATCGTGCAACAGCTGTCTGGGTCATTGGCCGGCGGCGACGCGGCAATTGTGGCCAACTAACCCGACAACGGACAAATATTGATTACTGTGTGTGTGAAGTGAAATTTTGGCGCCAGTAAAAGTGGATGGTTTTCGTTATACGAAATTTGGTAAAGCAAATCGAGGCATGGCGTGGCATCACGCGATTGGAGCAGCAGGAGACCGTTCTCCTTGCAATTGTGATTGACGTAGCATGACGTGCGTCGTGAATTTATACCCCCCTTTTGTTGTAGCACTAACGCTATAATTTGATTTGATTTGATTGCCGACACACACATACATACGTACACATACAAGTGCTTGCGCTGTTTTAAAAATCAATCATAATAATATATTTTAAGGCATGAATATGCATGTGTGCCTAACTAATACGCCATGCGCTTGCCACTTAACGTACAGCTAACAACAATAACAACAAAGGCGAGATTACGAGTGCGCTAGTAGGTCCGTGCAACAGCTTAGCACACCCAGTATGTGCTTGTACATGAGTGTGCCGCGTTGGATTAGCCTGGAACGTTTCGCCGGTGCGGTCTACGACAGTGCCTCGCATCTCATTGAAGTGTCGGTGGTGTTATTTCTACTCAGCTGTCATAGCGATAAGTCAGTCCCGGCTACACGTGGCAAGAGTGTTGATGCAGTGACAGCAACTGCTACTGCCAGCGCCACTCGTGCTGCTACTAGTGCCTCCGCTGAAGCTGCCGTCGTTGGCGGCGATTCGACGTCGTCGGTTGTGCTGTGCGCGGGTGAAATTGCCGACAAGTTGACGGCAACAAAAGTGTCAGCGCCCACAATTAGCCGCACAGTTGTGCTAGAGCAACCGAGAGTGTAGTGTTGGAGCAGCTGTGGGTGGTGTCTGTTCAAGTCTCGTGGATATTTTCGTGAACATTTAATGTGCAGTTGAACCGAAAGGCAAAATAAACAAAAAAAAAGTTGTGTGCCGAGAATTTAGAAGTTCTTAGGCAAAGAATATAGTGAAAGTGGTGCGGTTGCAGTGAATTTTGAATATCAGAAATATTCTTATTAAATGCTAAAAATGCAACTAATGTGAGAATTTAAAAAAATATTTAATAAAACCAAAATTCATAATTAAGAAAGAAGAAGTGTGAGTGAGTAATAGTGATAAATAGTAGTGTAATATATAATATATTTTTTATAAAGCCAGCAAAGAAACAAAAAAAAAAAAAATTATAATAATAATGATAAAAAATAAAACAAATAACAGCAATAAATAATAAGAATATAATATATAATTAGTGTAACCTGTGTGATAAAGTTTTCTAAGCTGTTTATAGGATTAATTGGCAGCTGTGAGGTAATTATAAAATTATTATTATATTTACTAAATTGCTCGACTGTTTGTGTATATTAAGTGATTTTCATGGAAATATGAAAAATTATGAAATAGGCTACATATAATACAGGGTGCTTTATATGTATAGCAGAAAAGTGCACTTAAAAGAAATTATAATTTAATTATTTGCTATGTATGTATGTGTTTAAGGCAAATTAATATTAAAAAAAAAAAAAAAAAATGGTGGATGTCAAAAGCTTTGGGCAACTATATCAAGCTAAAAAATATTTTTACTGTTTTTGAAACTGAAAAATAAAACAAAAACCAACTAAACACGTGCGTGTCAAGTTTGAACTAGATTTATACTCTTAGCGTTGATAACAAAAAAAACAAAAAAAAAAAACAAAAAAAAAAAAAAATCATCCAAAAATTTTCAAATAGTAAAAAAATTATAAGCAAAATTCAAATGAATATTTAGTAAATTTAGTAAGTAACGTGCTCAACTACAATAAAATTCAGTTTTGGTATACCTGTATTAAATGATTTGCATGGAAATTATGAAATAGGCTACATGTAAAACGGGTCCTGAGTATACAGAAGAAAAGTTTGTGTTTGAAACAAATTAATATTGATCACTGAGTGAGTGAGTATTAAATAGTTTTAATCTTTATAACTACATTGAAACAAAAAACACGCGGAAATTCTGGGATTTTTACAATGGATAAAAATATCGTACAAAGAATTTGAATACATTTTGCATTTCTAACCAAATTTCGTGTTCTGAATCGTTGTGAATGCTGGAAAAGACTTACGGTGATTTAGTTTTATCAAAAACACAAGCCTGCAAATAGTGCAAAACCATTAAGAGATCGTCGAAGACATGCCTTCAACCTCTACAACTTGTGAAAATATTAAAAAAGTGAAGGATTTGGTGCTTGAAAATCGTCAGGCATGTGTTAGAGAAATGACAAGAGAGCTCGATATCTCCGTTCGAATGATTTTGGTGGATATTTTGGGTATGCAACGCATTCTTGCTCGACTCGTCTATATAAACTTGAATTTTTTTCAAAAGGAACACGATTGTGACCGAATTTAAAGTCTAAGTTGCACTGAATACTATCGATAAACCACATTTTTCACCAGATTTGGTTTCGTGTGATTTTCTCTTGTAAAAAAAAAATTCGTTGAAAAAGCTGAAGGCCATCCAAAAAGTACTCCTGAAAAGTGTTTCTAGGACCGGAAAAATCGTTAGACGGTATAATGCTTAAGTGAAACAGAAGTTAGAATGCTCGTATAACGTCACAAAATCTTTGAATAAATATCGAAAATGCTTTACCTTAAAATAAATAGTGTTTAAGCAAACAATTATAGGGTTTTTCAAAAAGATAAACAAGAACTTGGAAGCTATTTAATCATAGCTTTCTGCGTCACTCTTAAGCCGATATATCCCACAAATACCAAATAAATTCTGGTTAAACCTTACGAAATATCCTAACAACCTGGTTACAACCCTGCATTTCGCTTTGGTGACATGACTTTAACAGAAGTTAAAGTTTTAAAATGTTTTTATATTAGATTGGTCTTTAAATATTGAAATTTCGCCGCCTATGTTCGGAAGAATTGCGAATCCGACAGTTTTAACCATATTAAATCTTAAATTTTTTGTGGTGTAAATTAGTTCTGCTACTAATTTTTGTGAAATAAATGAAAACAGAAGTTGTTCGATTCAGTTAAAAAAATGTTAACAGCCAGAAGAATATATATGTATATACGGACCAAATGAAGGCTTAACTTCGGCACGAATTGGATAATATCGAAATGAAATGAAAATTCTTTAATGATGGTGCTGAAATTGATGAAACATGCACATTAGTGCTTCAAAGCCGTGACTAAAAAGTCATTAGACAGTGTTTTAACCTCTCTGTTGCCATGAAATAGTTTTTAATAAAACTCTAAGGGCAATCAGAAGCAGTTTACAATGATTTCACGAAATCACATCGTTTACAAATACTTACATGCAAAGTCGTTCAAATACCTCGGCTTTCAAATACTCCCTCTTCAAATGTCGAAAATCATTAACCTCTAGTTTACTTTTTAGGAATTTGAATAAAAGTCATTCGGTGCCAACTCAGAACTAAACGGAGGGTGATTTATTATTAATTTAACGTTTTGAGTACTGAAAAATGCAGTTGTTGCAGTCGATGGGTGTGAGCTAGTATTGCCGTGGTGAAGACTGATCTGTCCGTGGTGGTTGGATTTCCTGATCTTTCGAAAGACAACTGACTGAAAAGTGGTTGTGAACCTGTCAGAATTTACTGCTCTGCATAGTTCTAGTAATATGGTGTCGATATATGCAGCAAAAATAAGCAATATTTTTCTTGGAAGTGGTTCCTGCGCGAAAAGTTTTTGTTGGATTCGGTTGATCTTGAAATACTCATACAGTTGACTCCTGTTTACTTTGGGACCCATACATATAAATTCACGATAGACGTCATAGACATATTTTGCAGCCCCGTTATTGTATTCCAATCGATAAGAGCCTATTTTGTGTGAGGTTCAATGAGAAAAAAATCCACAATGAAATTTTTGAAATGTAAGCTAGCTGGTTCCACTAATGTCAATAGTCTAAAACTCACGATGGGCCACATGACGATATTGTAATATCACTTTGTGCACAGCATAAATTTTTTTCGGAAGAACGACTGATTTTGAACGAACTTACCTAAATCACGATCACGAGTTGGAGTGATCTACGATATCCATTGAATTCACCATGCCCTTCATAAACACTGTTCCTCAATAGAGCTTTATCTGTCAAAAACTGTGCCAAGTTCATCTATGCACTTTTAATGAGTTAATGCATGTCGAAAGTTGTAAAAAATAATCGCGAACAAATGCAAGTCATTAAATTCCATTTTTTGTTTGAGTTGAATATTTGAAGTCACTGTAATTAACAATTTTTCCAGATTAAAATTTTTTGGCCGAGTTACTGCAGACAATACAGTCTTTACAAATTGCAACACTAATGTTGTTCAATTCCGAAATATAAAAGGCAACTTATGTATGTATACGTACCACAAATCGTTGGAAAAAATCGGCCATGCCTTAAGGGTATACATACGAGTACTATATCTAAGCGCCAAGCAATTTACGTTCGTAAATTTCTGATATTTATTTAGTGAAAGCTTCCATTTTTTCTTCTAATAAACAACTAATTTAACCCTATGAATTACCTGCACTCACAATGTTCAATTGCTGCATTATTGTAGACGTCTAGAAATTGCATGGAATTTGGTTTGGTTCAAAAAGTGAACAACAAATAATTTCCGTGCCATCAGAACCAGTCTTTAAAGCTTTTGTTGACATCAATTTACATGAAAATTAAATTAACTTAAAGAGCTCCGTTATATAAATTATTCACCAGCATATGCTTTGCATAACAAATAAAATTTGTTTTGAAAGCTTTCATCCAAATTATATGCTTTCTTCCTTTTGTGATTGATGGCTTTGATTATTGCAATCAATCCGATCAGAGTCGGCTGCCATTTACATATGGTTTAAGTACAAACGAACAACACGTGCGAAAATCGATTAAATCTTTGAGAAAACACAAACATTTAAATGAAACGAAAATACATTCACATATCATCATATTCACACGAATACGTGAATGAGTATGAAAATACAAGCCACATGTGCTAATTGAAATTCTGTGTTTGTATGCCAATCCACTTCACATTTGCTAATTGGCGAACGTGTGTGCGTATGTATTTATGCCTACTATGTTTATGGGGATGTGAAGATGTGCTTAATAAATCA